TGGCATGACTTTTGGTCGTGGGATGTGACAAATTTGGTGGAGTTCAAAATTTATAATTTCATGAGCTATAACCCTCTATTTGATGTATTTTTGTTTTTATTGATCCAATGGTAAATAATCTTCAAAGTAAAAAAGTTCATAATTTCATGAGCTGTAAACCCATAATATCTATTCATTTTCATTTATTTTGACCCAATAGCAAATACTTTTACAGAGTTCAAAATTTATGATTTCAACTGTTATAACTCATAATTTTTATTTAATTTTGTTACTTTTGACCCAATGAAAATTAATTTATGGAGTTTAATAATTCATGATTTTCATCCACTTTTGTTAGTTTGACTTAATTCCAAACACATTGTGATTTTCTTATTCATTTTGATACAATCACAATTATTTATGTTCAGGCCTAAAGGCAAATAATTTTAGGGAGTTTAAAATTCAAGATTTCAAAAGCTATAATCTATGATTTTATCCATTTTTATTTGTTTTAGACCAATGATAAATAACTTTTTATAAATTTAAAATTTATGATTTTATGAGCTATAAGTCATGATTTTTTTTAAATTTATGTTCATCTGATTTAATGGAAAATAATTTTTAGAGTTTGAAATTCATTATTTCATGCACTATAATCGATGAATTTTGTCCTTTTTTATTTGCTTCAACCATATGGTAAATAGTTTTGTAAAGTTTAAAATTTTCATAATTTTATGAGCTATAACCTACGATATTTGTCCAATCATTTATTTCAATTGAATAGCAACTAATTTTGTGGAGTTTAAAATCCATGGATTCAAGAGCAACAACCTTTGATTTTTTTTATTCATTTTCATATATTTCAATACAATAGAAAATAATTTTATATTGTTCAAAATTCAAAATTTATGAGTAATATATAATTTTTAAAGTTTTTCATTCATTTCAAACCCAATGGAAAATAATTCTATGGAAATCAAAATTTATTATTTCATGAGATATAACCCCATTATTTTTGTCCATTTTGTTTATTTTGACCCAATGGTAATTAATTTTGTAAAATTCAAACTTCACAATTTCATTAGGTAAAGTTATAACACACGGTTTTTTTACGTTTTTGTTCATTTTGAACTAATGGCAAATAATATTACAGGGTTTAAAATTCATGATTTCATGAGGTACAACCCACGATTTTTTCTAATTTTATTTGGTTTGATCTAATGGTAAATAACTTTATGCGGTTTAATACTCATGATTTAATGAGCTAAAATTCATGAATTTTGTTTATTTTTATTCTTTTAGATCCAATGATAAATAATTTCTCAAAGTTTAAATTTTATGATTTCATGAGCCACCTACTATTTTTGAATTTTTTTTGTTCATTTCGACCCAATAGAAAACAATTCTACAAAGTTTAAAATCCATGGTTTTATGAGCTATAATCCGCGATTTTTGTCCATTTTCATTTATTTGTATCCAATGATAAATAAGTTTGTAGAGTTTAAAATTCACAGTTTTATTTTGTATAACCCATAATTTATGTCTATTTTTTGTTCGTTTTGACCCAATGGAAAATAATTTTGAAGAGTTTAAAATTCATGATCTCATTAGGATTTTTTTCCATTTTTCTTGTTTCGCGCCAATGGCTAACTCGCAGAGTTCAAAATTCACCACATCATTACCTATAAACCATGATTTTTGTCTATTTTTGTTCGTCTCGATTTAATAGAAAATATTTTTTTAGTTTTAAAGTTCACAATTTCATAAGTTATGACCAACGGTTTTTTGCCAATGATACATAAATTTGTGGTGTTTAATATTCAGGATGTCATGAGTTGTAATCCATGATTTTTATCCATTTCATTCGTTTGGACCCAATGGCAAATAACTTTGTGAAATTTAAGATTCTAGATCTCATAAGCTATAACTAATAATTTTTATCCATTTTGCCTCGTCTTGACCCAATAGTACATAATTTTGTAGAGTTTAAAATTCATGATTTTATGAGCGATATAACACATGATATTTGTTAATTTTCGTTTGCTTTGACCAAATAGCAACTAAATATGTGTAGTTCAAAATCTATGATCTCCATGAGCTACAAACCACAGGTTTTGTAATTTTTGTCTATTTTAACCAAATGAAAATTAGTACGACCCAAAGGCTATTAAGTACTCATTGTTTGAAATTCATGATTTTCATGGGCTATGTAACCAATGATTTTTGTAATTTTTTTCCCAATTCAACCAATGAAAATTAAGTGCATGTACATCAAAATTTGTTATTAATTTTATGAGCTATAACCCATAATTTTTATTAATTTTTTTTCTTTTTCACCAAATAGCAATTAAGTACGCGTAGTTTAAATTTCATGATTTTCATTAGTTACAATCTACAAATTTTATAATTTTTGTCTTGACATGAAGGGAGTCAAAGAGGAACCTCCCTCAGCATTATCGCTAATCTTAGCAGTGGCACCTTGTATCGATAGCTTGCATCTGAAAGCATACAGTAGTACGTGTTACTCCGCTTTGATTTGGCTGAAAGTTACAATCACCGCCACCCAATTCTGAGCAATTTTCTTCCAAATGTGCACACGCATGCACATAAAAATGAGAAATTTATCCGTACCTAATATGTTTAAGGTTACTTGCTGACTTAGGATTTCAGCTATGAAAACCCTCATCCACCTCTTTCTCACTCTTCTGGATACCACTTGTATAGTCGACTAAAGATATATATATTTATAGCATCATGTAAAATAATTTGGGGCGCAACAGTTCTATTCATATACGCATCAACTTACGTAGAAAGGATTACCAACAAGTTATGATAAATAATCAAGAGGTTGGAATATAACAATATTTGGTCGAATATTTTGTAACATTCTTTTCCGCTATGAAGGTAACTATTGTTGTCTGGTTGTTGGATAGATCAGATTCTCTAACACATGGGTGTTTATGTATATAGGCTAAATAGCTAGCACTTGTATACCCTATTATTTTACCTACTTTCACTTGTATACCTTAACTTATATTACCGTAAAGTTTTTTAAACTTACACTTATATATCTTCACTTTTTTAGCGGCACTTAAATACCCTAAAGTTTTTGCAACTAGCACTTAAATAAGTGTCAGAATTAAAAACTTCAGGTGCCGTTTGGCAAAGGGTTAAGTGAGAGGTTAAAGAGACTTAACCCTTCTTAATTAACCTGCCAAACACAAAAAAATCTATATAATGGTTAAAGTGAGTTAACCCTCTATAATTTGTCAAACACAAAATATATAGAAATGTTAAACGAAGCTAACCCCTCTAATTATAAAGAAAATAGTTAAAATCATTGTTATTCCCAAGCACTGAAAATGACCATAAGGGTTAAAATAAAACATATATAACGGATTAATAATTTAGTCCTTCGGATTATCAAATTGGCTAACTATGTTAATCATTCTCCTTAATCCCTCTTCATTAACCCTTTTACCAAACGGGGCCATATAAGTACTAAAAAAAGTGAGGGTATATAAGTGCAAGTTTAAAAAACTATAAGATTTTTTTTTTTTACTGCCAAAGTACATGTGTATAAGTGAAAAGTAGATGAGACGATATGGTATATAAATACTCGTTAGCCTTTTTGTTTGAAGGCCGAACACATAAAAACATCACCACAAACCACAAGTCCAATATGTTGGCCTATACTTAGGCTGGGCATAATATATGCAGACGCCTAGAAATAAGTGTAGCAAAGAAAGAAAGTTATATCAAATAATATTCTACTATATTAAATGCACCAAATTCAGCAGGGACACAATTTGTCCAACAAGACGGTAGAGATGAGAATGACTTTTTTCCAAGTACAGCGTCAAAAATCCTGTCCCTTGCCATCTCCGACAACCAGCCACAAACTTTATTTATCAACGTTCAGGCTTCAAGCTGACATTAATTTCGACATGCGTCGATTAGACTGCAGGTTCTCATGCTATAAATTCCATTATTTATAGGATAAATATGGGCACCCATTTCAAAGAAAGTTCAACGGAACAACTCTTAAGGGGCTGTTTGGTTCCGGTTTTTGGAAGGGGAAAGGAGAGAGAAAGCTGTCAAAATATCAGCTTTTTGACAGCTTTCCTCCAAAATTATCTCTATAAGAGACGATTTTGGGGGAAAGCTGTCAAAAAGCTGACATTTTTAACAGCTTTCCTTCCTTTTACCGATCCAAAACACCGATCCAAACAGCCCCTTACGCGCATCGTGTTCTCCGAACATGGAAGCCAACGGTGCCCATCTCTTTCATGTCGGCTTTCGGATGCAATTTGCAGAGGTGTTGAGTTGAAATTTGAACTTCTAACTTGTTTAAATTCTCCTCGCCCTCCAAAATAATAATAATAATAATAATAATAATAATAATTTCTGTCAAGAATTTTAATTCATGTTACCCCAGGGTTACTTGTTTGCACACAAGTATTCGATATGATAGTCTCGTTCACAAAATTTCGAAATCTGTTACTCATTCATAACTCAAATTAAGTCTAGACCACCTAAATTAGTTAAATGTTGGACGTTAGCTATTAAATGTCATTTAAAATCAAGCACATCTTGGTTTTAAACCTAAATTTTATTCAATTACAAACTAAAATGAGAAACACACGAAAATATTACCAGAGACTGTTTTATCCAAAAGTAATATCTATCTGTAATGCATTCTTCCTAACACGTACAGGGTATTTTTCTGAACAAATACAATGTATTATTAGCGGCGTATTTGCTTCTTTCATCAAGCACATCTTGGTTCTTATTTCGAGCTCTATATGATGTTCATGTATCTTTAACTTTACAATAACTCGGTTCCCGTACATCCACTTCATTTGACAGGACAAAAATGAATCTCAAAATTCCCAAAATTGGTTTGCAGAACACCAAAACTCAAATCACAAAATTTCCCCAAATCCTGATCCTGATCAGATATAATGCACAACAAAATACAAGAGGATCATAGGGAACGTGAGGAAACACACAGCTCACAGTTGAACAAATGAATGAATCTGTATTGTATAATCTAAATGTATCCCTCTATCCAAACAAATTACAATCTAGCTGTAGAACACCGACATAGAATTTCTCTATACACTCCATATACAATCTTTGAAATCTTAAGGGCCAGTTTGGCAACCACTCCAAATTGAATCAGGATTGATCATGGTCCCATTTCGGGAGAAAATGTATTTGGTAAAAACTGGGTCAGCATTGGCAAAAAATGGTTTAGCTTGATCAATTCCTGGTTCAATTTTTTAATGGTCACAAAACACAACCTAAGGCTCAACAGAGTTCACAAATTAACGGGCAATCCATAGTTTTGAAATGATCGAATCCTACCATCACATCCACCCGTTACTATAACTTGACCCCAAGCATGTGATGAATTCCTGCACGAAGCCTTCAAGAACTTGTACTGAGATTTACCTAGGGTTGGAGAGCTCGAGGGGAGCTTCTCCTCAGGCCAAGTTGATGAGCCCCTAGGCAAAAACTCAGACAAAAACTCACGGCTTAAAGTAACACTACCAGCAGGCGAGAGGTAAATATTGTTCCTGTTGATCAAGGGATCTGTTTTGTTTTCTGAGGGAAACTCGGAGGTAGAGTTTCTTGATACTGGGCCAGGCCAAGGTACTGCAACCGATGAATGGGCAGAGGTGAATCGCTCGTAGGATCTGCTGCTGCTCTTTGCATGATTATGTGATGAGGAATCATGGTTATCAATGTGATTCCATATGTATACACTAGAGTCCTCGCTGGCTGATATGATATGCTTGCCGTCGGGTGTGAATGATGCTGATATCTGGCTTCCAGCATTGCGGAGACCTAGAAGTATGAACCCTCAAACAAAAAAAACAAAAGTGGGTTCCCTCTGAACTTAAAAAATCAAAGAAATTGCCTTGAACTTTCAAATTTATACTAAACCTCTCTGAACTATTGCAAAGTCTCATGAACAGCGTTAACGGATTAAGAGTAAAAAGTCTAAACTATTTTCTTTTTCTTTTTTACTTTTTACCTAGCTGCTCTTACCTGAAAGGGTAATATAGAAGTTAGATTTTACAGATAAGGGTACAACTAAAAGTACTTGTCTTCCGTCATGACACTAGAGTGAGACAAGTCCAGGGATCCTGTGCAAAACCCCCCAAACATCAGAGGGGTACTGGTCAAAACCTCCAAAAGTTTGGGTGGCTTTGTGATATTCACCCCCTTTTTATGATGTCAAGGGAAAGTTATAAGACGAGTATGATAAATTATTTTGTATTATACCTTTGTACTTGGAGATCACATCTACTCCATCAAGAAGGCGGATTCGGGAATCAGCGGAAGTGACCAGAAGTTTCCGGTGATCTGTTGGGCAATACTGAATGATGGGATGGAACAGATAATTTAGCATCAGATCGAGATGCATTAAACAAAACTATAAGAAGACAGGAAAATACAAGATGTCTATGGTTTCAGAGATAGCTAACCTGAAAGCCAGTTATCCTGTTGTCAAGAGACTTCTTTTTAGATTGCAAGGAGATTTGAGCATCCAGTTGAAGTTGATTATCTGATCAATGCCAAAAAGTGAGGGGAAGTAAGGTTTCTTTCATACACAACTCAAAAGAAAATTTACAGTACAAATGAGCGCGGAGTGTGACAACTTTTAAATACAGTTATTTATCTTTATGGAACACTAAAGTAATTTCGGTGCCTATTCAAAATCTAAAATTGGGAGGAAAACAGAAGAAAAGATCTAAAATGGGAGCAACAAAGAAGGTTGATAGCTGTAAGGGAAATTACAGCCCTGGGATTATAAAAAATGGCAAAAGAATTCCACAGGGGTCAAAATGGCAAAAGAACATTGTTAGGATTTGCGACCATGAATTCCTGCATCACAGAAAACTAAAGGGAGAGGTACAAGAGTTGAAAATTCACAAAAAAAAGGGTTGACATAATAGGGAATGATTTCACTTCAATAATTGGTGCATAAAGATTCTGTATACATGTGACAATTATTAGGGTTTGACACATTAGAATGTGGAACTCTTCTTCAAACGACGGGCCTTTTTCCTTTATGTCCTTTAGATCTAACAACTTATTGGTTAATCATAAGAATCCATCACACTATTACAAAACAAACATCCGTGACATTTAATTATGCTAGTCTTATCAAGAACCAGGTAACCTTTAAAATTGAAACACAAGAAATATTCTGGCTTCACTATGTTTTAGCATTATTCTTAGGAACATATTTTCCTAACGATGTGTCTCTAAAATTTTTAGCACATATTCCTAGATAAGTTACAGATAAAGGTCGAAATCACAATTACTTACAACAGAAATCTCAACTATTTGGGATCTTGTAGGCCACCAGTCCAGTTATCTACCTAAGATTCGTAACTTGATATCGTCTTTGTTTACTTCAGTGCTGAACTGCTGCCCTTATTTCCAAAAATGAAAGAGCATTTCAGACTAGAGACTTGTTATACATATGTTTAGTACTTCCCTTGTGCAATTCAATCACAGTTCAAAGAAGTGTATAAGATTCAAACTAATATCTTCAACTCCTATAATGCAGACAAAGAGATCTATTCCACGATAATTTTATCATTATGACCTTGCATGTTAATAATATATGCATACCTGATACATCATAAAAGCGGCAATCACCAGGCATGCTGCCGACTACTATTCCCTGCAAGAAGAAAGGTATACAAAAGAATAAATTTCAGAGTCCATTGAATTTCAAATATAACAAGTAGAATGTGTATCAGATTAACTACCTTCCCATTTAGCCGGTAACACAATGCGGTGACAATGTCTTTAATATCAGTCCAGTCGACAACACGGCATTCCCCAATTTCCCAAATACGAACTTTTCCATCTATTGAACCACTAACAAAATAATTTTCATCAACGGGATTGAACTGGACGCATGTCACTGCACAAATTTATTCGGAAAAAAGGTTAGTTATTAGAACTATAATAACAACTAGAACAAGACACATAGGAACTGCAAGATTTATGAGCAAATTACGCATACCATAATTATTATGTACAAAAACTTTGAGGCAGCTATCGCAACCAACTTTCCACAATCGCACGGTTTTATCTACAGATGACGATAGCAAATACTGCAAAAGGTGTGATTTGATTTCAATAAGAGATTGTGTATAAGAAAGAAAAGAACATACAATTTGATAGAATTCAAAAGATAACCAACCTTATCCTTAGACCATGAAAGGTCTAGCACATCTCCATCATGCCCATAAAACTCATGTATTGGTTGTTCTGATATCCGAAATACTTCGGAAGGAACAACAACACAGGCTGAATCCGAAGTTCTCTTCATACTCCTCGGCTTAGACTTCTCTTTATCGACAAAAAGTGGAGCCAATTCCGAGCTGCAGTTCACCTTGAAGTAAATGCACGAAGGATCATCTTCAGGAACATCACATTCCTCTCTTATATTACATTCTGTGACTTCCCATACTCGAACAACTCCATCTTCACCTGCACTCGCTATGTATTCTCCATCGGGGCTGAATCTCATTGTAACAATCGCTCCATCATGAGCCTTGATATCTTGCCCCATATACACTGCAGAGAATTCCTTCGATCTTCTTTTGTTTGAACGAACTTTAACTCTCTGAGATCTAGAGCTTATACTATCATGCGAACAAGATGAACTAGAATCAATTTCCACCGGTTGCCTATCTACAATGCAAGACACAGCACCCAATTTCTTCAACCACCTATTTTTTCTTCGTCTCTCCATGATTGAATCATCCAACTTTTCGTTTTCTCTTTGCATAAGTTTTTGTACAAAAGAGGATGGACCAAAACTTCTATTGAACTCATCAACAGTTATACACCGATTTGAACTAACTTCTCGAAGACATCTTGGAGTACCATCATTACTAAACTCGTTGATAACAAACACTGAGCCATCATCCAAATTCTTGATCCTAAACTCAGATCCCTCATCTGAGTCTCCATCCCCTGATGTGCTAGGATCCTCACTCAACCAGCTAGAGGTTGAAGAGCTACTCTCTGAGGCAGAGCTCATTAGCACAGCTCCTCCATCCGCTGTTATTCGATCAATATCCGGACTGATGGAGAAATCTTTGATAGGAGTTTGAACTGGATTCAATTCCAAACCCATCATTCTCATGAACCGGGATCTGCGTTCCTCAATGCTGCTTGGATTACTGATCCAAACTTTGTATCGGGGGTCATCAGCGACCCAATTTATTGAATTCTCTTCAGTGATTGAACGGTTTGATGGGGTTCCAGGGCATGAATCTGAGAGTGATGAAATCTCTTCTCTAGAGTCAAAGAATAAATCCTCCTCTTCTTCTTCTTTATTGTAGATGAATGTATTATGCGTCATATTCTCTCACTTCAAAACAAAAAGGAAACATATACAAACACAATCTTAGAGAAAGAAGTGAAAATTCTCCTTATAACTACAGCAAGAGCGAAAAGGGGGCATGAACAAAATACCATATCTTTGCTAAGTCAATACCCAAATCTTTAAAACCCCATTTCCAATGAAAGGGCAATGACTCTAGCCAACAAAATCATTGTATTGCAAATTGCAGTA